CACATTTAATTTCAATGCACGATATTATTCAGTCCAGAAAAATGAAAGAATCCGTTTAATTTATGAATATATCACAGATATATGTTCCTCTACAACTGGTGGCCTCGTACGGTATCATAAATGGACTGTTATTCGTGTAACAATTGAATTCATCATGTTGGCATGAAAAGTGCAGATTGTTGCTGTGTGAAACGCAGCGTTGTTGCAGCTGCGGTGCTAAGAGAAAATACAGCAATGTTCTGTCGCTATGGTGTTTTGAAAGCTGAACATAAAGTCAATGTGTTCGTTTGAAAGCTGAATTTGTACATCTGTTGTGTAACTGAAGCTGGGTTCGTGTTAAAACACTTTATTCTGTTTAAACTGTGATCCAGACGTGGGTTCTGGTCCGGCTCGGTTCTGATTCGGTTCGAACGAGTCGTGTTTGAAGAAAGAAACTGTTGTTTTGAACGGGCGAAGTCCCAGTGAAGCTTTGAGAGTTGCTTAGCCACATTTTTAACAGAAAATAGTGCATTTTGAAAGTTTTAATGACGAAAGTTGACCGGAATGTTCAAGCTAAATGCTAACACGCTAGCTGAAATGGCGAGCAGCGATTGGTCGAAAACCGTTGATCTGGGTAGCCCTGATTCGCTGAGAGACGTGTCTGTCGTCACTTCCTCTGATGTCAGATCGTAAAACCCACCCCCGTTGCTGTTATGATTGGTAGATTCAGTCACGTGACCCGGAAATGAGTCTCGGTTCAACCGAAGCCTTTTCTGTGCTTAAAATCACTAAATGGAGCTGCCACATGTCCTACAAAACTCATGTTTCATGCAAAGAAGTCGTGCTTGTTGAAACAACGCCACGTTTAAGCTTTAAATCCGTTCAGAAATGTTGATTTAACCGAGTTTAGCCGATGCTAATTTTAAGCTAAGCGGCTAACAACAGGATGTCAACGAACGATCCACAGGAAGTTGTCAGACTCCTGCTGGTATAAATAAGCTTACATCACCACCTGCTGTTGAAAGAGGAGTATAACAGTTTTCCTGAAGGGAGACTGATAATTCCTCATAATTTTTTTTCTTTTCTCTTTTCACCCAACCTGGGTTAATGAGTAACTGTTTAAAATAGCGAATTTCGGGGATAAAACGGCTTAAGAAAGCGTTTAAAAACTAAAGTTGCTTGAAACTTTTCGAAAAATTGCAGGTTTATTTAATGTTAAGTGCTTTAGAGTAAATATCACTTAGAGGCCTGGTTCTTGTATCTGTTAAAAATAAGCACGTTAAAAAGTAACACTGCAGAGAAGCATTTACTTAAGAATATTCATGAATTGGGGTAAAACCTACAAATAGGTGCCCACATTTGAATAAGTTGACTTACGACAGTACTTTTGAGTAAATCCAGAGCTTATAATAGTGTGTGACTCACTGCTTACTTGAATACAAATATTTACCTGTTAAAATAATCTGAAGTTGGCAAC